TAGTCCAACCATGACTGCTTCCGAATATTTTCATCACCCTTCAGAGAAGCTCCGTCTGCCTCTCATAAGCAACGAGCCCCACTCTGCGTTTCCCTGGTGCCATACGTTCCTTTATGTGACCTTTGCCCTGGTTCTTTGGAGAAACTATATGAGAGATTTGTTCTCTCCTAATTCTGAAGAGTTATCTTTGCCATAGTTTTCTGTCCCAGATGTCTTGTGGGTTTGGCCCAGGTTGAGTGGTATTTGCTGGGTTAGTTGTAAACAACTTGATTTTATACTTTTGTCTGGCTCTGGACTTTACCTGTCCTGTGATGGGTATGCATCTTGGGATTGGTCAATCAACTATGCTAATGAAGTGTCTGTAGCCTACTATGCAAATGAAGTACCTATGGCCTACTTAGGGGGGATTGGTCAGTTCATGACCCTGATGGGAGGGTCACACTTTGAAACTGACAAGGAGCTGCGCACGTGTACAACCACCTCCACAGACACAGAAAGAAGGAGGAAGAAGCAGCAAGGAGAGAAGTCAAGACGGAAGAAGGAAGAGGGGGAGAGAAAGGAAAGCGCCATCTCCTCAAAGAGCTGTGGCCTGAGTCAAAGTCTATCCTTGAAGGCAGTGGCAGGGAGTTCTCGGTGTCAGAGGCAGGGAGACAAAAGGAGCCTACCCTCCGGAAGCTCAAAAGAACCCAAATATCCACCCTCCCCTAAAGAAGGGAGGCTTTGCCTGCTTACTGCTGACCCTGCACCTGAGCTGGATGCTACTGAATCAGTTCTCAAGTTCTAAGCCTGTTACTTCTGTAATAAAGCATTTAACTGTAAGCGAGGAGCCCTGGGGGGCCTGCCTGGGCAGTGTGGGACTGCTAACCATAAGGTTGGTGATTCACACCTACCAGCCTCTCTTCAGAGGAAGCTAAGGCTAGCTGCTCCCATTAAGAGATACAGCCCTAGAAATGCTAAATACAGTCTTAGGAGTCAGAGTGGACTGTGTGTGGCTATTGTGGATTGTTGGCTCCAGAAGAGCAGTGAAGAGTGCTTTGGGAGGAAGGGCTGTGACGGGATTGATTAAATGTTTGGAGGGTGGATGTATGTTAGACCTGCCTGATGGAAATTAGCTTTGTACTGATGGTAATTCTCATCATTCCCCGTGCCTGAAGTTAGACAGATACCGATGCTACTACTACCATTTTATATCTTTTCTCCACTGGTAACTACTAATTAAGGTGAGTCTTTGCACACTGTTCTAATCAAGATATTTCAGATAAATGGGATCATAGGATATCCTTTTGTGACTGACTAATTTCACTCAGTATAATGTTTGTACGTTTCATCCATGTTTTCGTATGCATCCGGGTTTTACTTATCTTTCTGGTTGAGTAATATTCCATTGTGTAGATATACTCAAACCATAAAACACAAAAAGATCACTCCCATCAAGGCAAGGCTGAGTCATAGTGACACTACCAGACAGGGTCGAACTATCCTGTGGGTTTCCAGGACTGTAAATCTTTACAGGGGCAGAAAGCCTCATCTGTCTCCCTCAGAGTGGCTAGTGAATTCAAACTGCTGACTGTGCTAGCAGCCCAACGTGGAACCCCCGGTACCACCAGGACTCCATATACTACATTGGGTTTATTCTGTTGCTGCACACTGAGATTGTTTCTACCTTCTGTCTAATGTGAATACTGTTGTCATCGAAATCATTGCATAAGCATCTACTTGCATTCCTGCTTCCAAGTTGTTTGATTATATACCTACAAGTGGGATTGCTACATGATATGGTAATTCTATATTTAGCTTTTAGAGGAATTGCCAAACTCTTTTCTTTTTAAAAAAAA